TGTTCGAAAAAAAAGCAAGTTGTTTTAAAAATAAGTTCACCATTTTTCTTCACTGTTGGAAATGAATAATGGCTCAGCCACAATGAAGTGTATATTTTTCTGAGAATGTTCAGTAAAGTTATCAGTAGACCTGATAACCATTGGTGGACACTGTTATTTGTCAAACTAGTACAGGTTCTGTCATAATGATCGCTATAATCTGGGAAACACTGTTAAAGCTGATAGTATGTCATAAAAATGGCTGTAGATGATGCATGAAATGATTTTTAAAATTGTTGAATTTGAAAACAAAAGGCTTTAGATATATAAATTTTTAGGCCGTAGACCGGCGAGCGGCTGTACAAATAGTCCACTAAACACAGATTGACTTTGTAATAACCAGTAAATAACTTAGCAAGAACTGAAATTATTACCCAAATGTCAGCTATATATTAACACCAAACGTTTTTATCATGCGCTTAAAAGCGTTTAATATTCTACAAAGGCAGTACAATGTAAAGAATAATCACAGTCTTTACTTAAAACATTATTTTTGTAAGCCTATCGAAGTTTAAAAATGATATGGAATTAAATTTCTCCTGCTACAGCAATCAGCTGACTGCGACTTAAAAAAGAGGTACGAATTTCATTGGACATCGTTAAAGAATTTGTGATTCCCAATCGTTGCGCACGGGGTTTTTCCAGATGCCCAGTTTGGATTACAATTTTTAGTACAAAAGTGTCTTGCTCCTTGAGTTGGATCGCTGACCCGTCCTGCAATTACATCCTGAGCAATTCGTTCGCATTCAGCTCGTGCACCAGCTTCTGACATGGTTCCTGCAGCGCCATACCCATCAAACTGATGTGGTCTGCTGGCCTCAGTCTGGATACTTGTACCGTTCTTTCTGGCTCTGTTGAGTACTACATGAGCAACTGCTACCTTTCCTTCATATGGCTCGCCTCTTGCTTCTCCATAGATTACTTTTGTTAATGCTTCCACGTCACTCTTATCCATTCTGGAAAAGTATGAAATTATACAACACATATCAAGTGCAAGAGTATACATAGTAATTTCTATAGAAAAGCAGTAAGTTAAAGAGTGCTTTGAAAGGCGCTGATGCACACTGTTAATACGAAATATTTGGATCATATAATTTGCAGCAGCTAAATGTTGTCTATGGTTCTGTAAAAGCTGGTCATATTTACAGCCACCTCAGTATTCCAATTGGAGCTGTTTACATGACCATTTCGGCAAAACAGTTTATAAGAGTGGTATTCACTTTGCAATGCAGTGAAACTGGGTAGTGATCGTCTTAAATTTGATTTAGAAATAGCTTATAAAATTTTTGCAATGTTTCCAACCTTTCAAGAATGCACGTCAAGACAATAAAGTTTTCCGAAATT